GCGCACCTGTAGTCCCAGCTACTCAGGAGGCTGAGGCAGGAGAATTGCTCGAACCTGGGAGGCAGAGGTTGCAGTGAGCTGAGATTGTGCCACTTGATTCCAGCCTGGGCAACAGAGCAAGACTCCTTCTCAAAAGAAGAAAAAAGCAAAATACAAACATAAAAAGGAAAATATAGGGCCCCCAATCCAGTATGACCTTACTTTAATTACACCTGTAAAGACCCCATTTCCAAATGAGGTCACATTCTGAGTTTCTGGATAGACATGAATTTGGGGAGACACTGTTCAACACAGAAAACCTCCCAAATACCATAGCCCTAGGCAACCACTAATCTACTTTCTGTCTCTAGATTTGATTATTCTGAACATTTTTAGTAGGGTTTTCAATTTTGCACTCTATTGAAAAATGTGGCTAGTTTAATTTTTTTGAGGATGAAATATTCATTTATTATATTACAATATAGCTATATAATTTGACAATCTCCTACGTAGAATATACAGTACCTGTTTGAGATATTTTAATTACACTAGCATTTCCTTTTAGGCTGTGTCAATTGACTAGAACACACTAGTAAATACATACACAGGTTTGATGTGGATTATAATGAAGTAGTTTTTTTTCCTTAGTAATCTGTATTATAATTCCTAATTAGTGTCTTTTTCTGCCTTGGAAATTTCTACAGAATTGTCAATATCAGGATAGTGGGTAAAAGTACACCCACCATACTGACAAGCACATTTTCTATTTTGTTCCCCAAAACTTCCTGTCCTGTAAAGTGCTCTGCTTGCTTTTTAGTAGACATTTGATAAGTTAATGTTATATCCTTTGCAGTGATACTATTTTGATGACAAAGTAATTCAGTTTATGCTTTCAAAAATCACAATTTGGACAGAAAAGTTTAGCATCTTAAAAAAATTGTTGCTATTAAAAAAAAAAAAAAAAATACACTTGTGACTTTGTGGCCTAGCTGGCAAAAACTCGACATACCGTCCCATGAAAATTTTGAGTCATGAATTATTTTGACATGACAGTATTACTAACAAAATCAAAATCAGCCATTTAATAAACAATTATTCCACCAAGGAGTCTATATTCCTTTTGCCATATATACTGTTAACAGCAAAAATTTTGGATTTGCTACATATGCACGGGTAAAGGAGGTATTCAGAGGAAATTTTGCTTTCTAAGGTTATACCAAAGACTTGAGAAAATCCAATTTACTCCCACATGGCACCAAACCAGCTCTCACTGAGAGTCATTATTTGGACTCTTAAGTCCAAATAATTTGTCCTTTTAATGAAAGGACATTTTACAGGTGGCACCATTCAGCATTTGATAAATCCTTCCTTTAAATATCCTCCTCCCGGCCGGGCGCGGTGGCTCAAGCCTGTAATCCCAGCACTTTGGGAGGCCGAGACGGGCGGATCACGAGGTCAGGAGATCGAGACCATCCTGGCTAACATGGTGAAACCGCGTTTCTACTAAAAAATACAAAAAACTAGCCGGGCGCGGTGGCGGGCGCCTGTAGTCCCAGCTACTTGGGAGCCTGAGGCAGGAGACTGGCATGAACCCGGGAGGCGGAGCTTGCAGTGAGCTGAGATCCCGCCACTGCACTCCAGCCTGGGCAACAGAGCAAGACTCCGTCTCAAAAAAAAGAAAAAAAAAAATCCTCCTCCCTCTTTACAGTTGCCTCAAAAGACTTTAAAAAGCTTGAATCCACTTTTATCTTCCTAACCTTCCTCCTTCCCAAGATGATTCACACTACTTTAGAAAAAATTAAAATTAAAAAAAAAAAAAAGAAGTCTGTGCTGGGAAATTGTTTGAAATGTTGCCCTTATTAACTAGAAATCTTTTTACTCTCCAGAGCTTTACGCCCTCTCTCATAACAGATTTAAAATGAGGTTCCAGATCTAGTTTGAATCTTACAGAAATTCCCTCAAACATTATCTTCTAATCCTCTTTAATTTGTTCCCACTATCTATGTTTTCCAAGAGTACTTTATTTCTATAGTTGTTCTTTTGTACAGTATGCCATTCTTGTTTCATGTTATCCTCTCTGGTGATATTTTAGTTTCTTTAACTTTTAAAATATTTTGGTGTTTTTGTTTTCTCTAACTTCTTTTTCTGTTTCTTTGCTTTGCTCTTTCCTATTGGCATCTGCCTTCAAATGTCTAGTCCCTGACTGTGCATTTGTATTTATAATGAGACATTTCAAAATTGATAATTCAGGGGTACAAGGGTGAGCTTAATCAGTGAACTTCATTATATGATGAGGAGACGGCCAACTATTTTTGTTGCTGGTCCATAAGAGATACATATTTTTCTGGGCTGTTTGACTCACCATTCAATAAGTATAAGCCCTCTCTGTACCTTATGTCCTAGAATCTGAAGTGTCTCTTGTTCCCTTTTACTGGGGGAGGAATCCTATCTCCTATCAAGTTGAGACAGTTGTGTCATCCAATTGGAAGGGGAGGCAGCAGTATTTTTACTCTGCCATCTTGAAAAAATCAGAAGTTTCCTTCCTGTAACCCCACTCTCCTGATTTCCACCTATACCCATCACCAAACTGATCACTACCAAGTTCTGCAAGCCCTAGGCTCTCATTGTCTCACACACACTCCACCTAGACAGTCTCAACCGGCATTCTGACCTTGCCCCTCTCTACCTTCACCAAGCACTGGGCTTACCCTCACTTAAGTTTCAGCCACCACTGGTATTATTTTAGGTATCTGATCCCAGCAGAGTCCTTATACATGCTGACATTTGCAGGAATGAGAAGTCAGTGGCTACAAAGCAATACTGGTTAACACAAGGAGATAATAAAATACATATATTAAGGTTAATGAAAGCCAAGTTTCTTGTTATCAATGGAGTTAAAAATAGAGGAAAATAAAATGAATCATGTGATTTTGGATTGAAATTGGAGATTATCAGTGTGAACTCAAGTTTTTTCTTTTTTTTCATAGTCTTTGATATAGAAGACATAATAGTTTTAATATATAAAATATAGAAATGTTTGATGTAAATGTTTGTGTTTGTTTATACTTATGTATTTCCCAGCAATGTTCATGAGAGCAAAGACATCCCAGTAGCAATAAGCACATTAAAGCTCAGATTTTGGTTTCTAAGCAGCACCAAAAGGACCCCTGGAGAAATAACTGATTTCAGGACTGGAGTAGAGAATGTAAAAATGAGCCTGGAACATGTCTAGATCAGAAAGTAAAAAAGTGCTCAAGTAATCATGATGATTTTTTTTTCCTTTTTCAAATGTGCAAAGGAGCTTAAAGGGGCTCCCGCTGGCCAAATTGGAGATGATTTGAGCATCAAAATAAATAATGATAGTAATGGATTATAACCCACTGAGTAACATTAGAAATCATGAGTCCATACTGATATGAACAAATAATGAGCTAAAAGTTGAATGAACAATCAGATTTTTAGATACTTTCAAAGTACCTCCCCACAAAATTCTTATTAATAACAAAAAGGAAAAGAATAACTTTATGGGAGAGCGGCTTGGCAGACACCACCTTAAGCAAGTGATCAATTGAGTATCACAAGTAACAGGACAAATTGAAACTGTGCACAACCTGCAATGTGAAAACCGCAGCATCACTTCTGTGATAATCCTGCCAAAGATGCATAATCTGAATCTAATCAAGAGAAAACATCAAACAGACCTGCACTAAGGAACTTCTACAGTATAACCAGCCTGTAGTCTTTAATGGTGTCAAGGTCATGAAAAGGAAAAACAAAAAATCTTCCAAATTGAAGGAGACAAAAGAAATATGGCTAAGCAACAATGATTCTGAACTGAACCCTTTTCCTCTAAAGGACAATATTGGGACATTTGGCAAAACATAAATGGAGTCTAAGGATTAGAGAGTAGTAGTGCATCAGTATCAATGTCCTAATTTTGTTGATTGTGTTGTGGTTATATAGAATGCCCTGGTTTGTTTGTAGAAAATATACAGTAAGTATTTGGATGATGGGGCATTAGGTCTGCAACATAGTCTCAAATGGTTCAGGAAAAAAGTTCTTTGTACTGCTATTTGTAACTTTTCCATAAATTTGTTTCAAAATAAATGAATTGCCTTGATTAAAGAAAATAAAAAACTAGTTTGGACAAGTAGTTCCCGTCCTGTAGATTCTGTCTTCAAAATCCAAACAAATTACATGAGCAAGAATGATGGCTCACTCCCAGCCCAATAATCCTAAAACCACCAGCACAAACCTGTAAGCCAACAAAGTCAGATTTATTGACTTATTACAATCAAGAAGACTGCACACCAGAGGAGCTGTGGGGTGTCTCACCGTACAAAATAAAAGGTAGTTATTGTATCTTTTGGCAGGGAGAGTGAAGTTTAGGTGAAATTTAAATGAAATCTCAAAACATAGCTGTGTGTAAAGGCATTAACATCAGGTCTGGACGAGAACTGAATGTAGGGCATGTTTCCTTGGAAACTGCAAAGTTAAGAAAATATATAATGTTTTCAGAAACCGTTTATATGAATGAAGCTCTACACCTAGGTAGAAATTGAGGCTGCTTCTCTGCGTCAGAGAGACTTAGATCCTCCAGGCAAGGATGGGACGTTTCACTGGTTCTGATATAATTTCAAATAGCAACGTTTATGTGGACTTGAAAGAACAAGGTTTCTGAGTGTGTAGTAAGAATGTACTACTCACTCAAAGGGGTAATACTTTTCCGTTGCAGTATGTCCTAAAAGAAACATTGTTTCCTCTTAACGTCACGTCTGGCTTTATTTGACTCTGTTATCCATCCAGATGAAAGGCTGGGCATTTTGTTACTTTCTCAACCCAAGCTAAGTTTTACTGTCTTAGCAAGAACGACTCGGTCTCGCAAATCATAGCTAAGTCTCCTCTCAGGGCCTTGCTGAAGTTGTGCGTTTGCTTGCTCCGCTTTCCCCTCATTTTGGACCTCAAGCCTTCCTGTAGTCCGAGGCCCTGCACCGAGGTCAAACGCGCCTCCGGTCTTCACGTAACCGTTCAAGCATCCCGCCTTCCCAGGACACACTCAAGCGCCAGAGCGGTCCGCTCTTCTCAAATCTTATTGGCTCAAGTCCACGCGTCTCATGGCACTGGTGGGGGGGGTGGGGTGAGACAGGCGGAAAAAGGCCTTCCCCCGGCGCGAGAAGATGACGTCACAGCCCGGCCGGGCGCGGAAGTTGCCTGGGGCTGTCTGCCCAGTAACTGGCATCCACCGGTGCCGACCGAAGACCCCTCCGTCGGCAGCGCAGTTGCAATGGCCATTTGTCAATTCTTCCTTCAAGGCCGGTGCCGCTTTGGAGATCGGTGCTGGAACGAACATCCTGGTGCCAGGGGTGCAGGAGGGGGACGGCAGCAACCGCAACAGCAGTCTTCAGGTGAATCTCCTCTGCATCCTCCGCGGTAACCGAGCCGTGAAGGGCCGGCTGGCGGGGGACCGGACGTCCCACCTGTGTCCCAGTGCTGGTGACCCCAGCGTGCCCGCATCGCTGCCTTGCCGGCCCCACTGGGCCCTGCACAACGTTTTTAAACCGAGGGTTTTATCTACATATTATTCATGGGGTCCGTTTTTATTGAGCTTCAGAGGACCTGGGTTTGGGCCTGGATGCTTTTGCGAAACTGAGTTTTTAAATCGGAATTAACTATCGAAACTACCTTGTAGGTAAATGCCGTAATTGAATATAATTATTACTAAGTTGTTTTTTCGAGGGTGAGGCTAGCAGCTTGGGTCAGAATCAGGACTTCATTTGGGATAAGTCGTGGACTTCTTTGAAAATCTAATAAAACCGGCCAGGTGCGGTGGCTTACGCCTGTAATCCCAGCACTTTGGCTGGCCGAGGCGGGCGGATCACGAGGTCAGGAGTTCGAGACCAGCCTGACCAACATGGTGAAACCCCGTCTCTACTAAAAATACCAAAAAAAAAAATTAGCCGGGCGTGGTGGCGCGCGCCTGTAATCCCACCTACTCAGGAGGCTGAGGCAGGAGAATCGCTTGAACCCGGGAGCTGAAGGTGGCAGTGAGCCAAGATCGCGCCACGCAACTCCAGTCTGGGCGACAGAGCAAGATTCTGTCTCAAAAAAAAAAAAAAAAAAAGAAAAGAATATCTAATAAAACCTATAGAGCCATACCGCAGAAAAAATGCACCTGCTCATAAATTTGGGGTGAAATTGGGAAGGTGGGAAGTCCAGTTAACTCCGGGAGATGAGGAAAGGGGATGTGGAGGCCTCGTTAATCTAATCCCTGGGCCTAGATCATTGTCAAAGCTTTTTATCTTAAAGGAAAGGAGAGATTAGACGTGAAACCTTAGAACAACACAAGATTTTAAAGATCGGGTTAATAATTAGGTGCTGCCTCCCTTCCTTCCCCTCCTTTAGGGCTCTTGATGTGATGTGATGTGATGTGATGTGATGTGATGTTATTTTGAGACAGCGTCTAGCTCTCAGACAGCTCACTGCGACCTCCGCCTCCCAGGCTCGAGCGATTCCCACGCCTCAACCTCCCGAGTAGCTGGAATTACGGGTGCCCGCCACCATGCCCTTGAAAAGTTTTGTATTTTTAGTAGAGACAGGATTTCGCCATGTTGGCCAGACCGGTCTCGAACTCGTGACCTCAGGCGATCCGCCCGCTTCGGTCTTTCAAAGTGCTGGGATTACAGGCGTGAGTGACCGCAGCAGGCTACGTCTAACCTTTAAACCTTGTATTGCTTGATGATTTCACGTCTGATCCCACTTAAGGGAAGACAGTCTTTTTATTTCATCCACAATTAATATAGTGAAATATTTCAAACCAAAAATTAGGACTCAGGTCTGAGGAATGTGAGTGTAAACAAAATTTAGCAGACAAACTTTGTATTTAGCTCCCAGAAACAAATGAATGTTTCTAGAATTATAAGTATGAAGACCAAAAGCAATATTTGAAAAAAAAAAAAAAAAAAGGAGGAAGTGAGTTTCTTCAGTTATACCCCAGTGAAATTTGGAATTTTAGAAGAAGAAGATACCATTAACTCCTACTTGAAGGATCTGGTCTAGCAATCTCCACTTTTTTGTTGTTGTTGTTATTATTAGGGTAGTTTAGAGTTGCAGGATGAACTTTCACAACTGGGCATGTTTGTCATTCCAACTTTTGATATTTTTAATGGCTTATCTCCTAATTCAGTCAGAAACAAGATGAATTACCTTAATCTTGGCCCCAACAAGGAAGTGATGAGTAAATGAGATTGCTAAAGTGATTTTAAAAAACAAAACCAATATGTAAAGAGGGGAGATAATCTTTTTGACTCATTTTGATATTTATGAAATATTGGAAAGCTACTCATAGAGGAACTACATGCATTTTGTTCACATGTAAATACCATGTATAATCTCTCTGTGAAAATAGGTGTGTAGGTGCTTGCCCAGAGAAAAGACTGCATCAAATAGACTTAAGCATCTGTCCAAAAACAGAGGGTAGAATCTAATCTTTCATATTCAAGAAACTAATTCAATGTCCATTTTTCAGCCTTTACTACAATATAGGGCCTGGTGGGGGAGCAAAGAATGATAAAAACACAAGTTTTTATCCTGAAGGAGTTTATGATTTATGATGCATGCCTTCTGTCAACTCGACTATCAAGCAGTTGTTTATTTAATAAGCTTTGGCAGCTGAATTTAGTAAAATATCACTATTTTTCTATATTATTTTCTTCTGAATCTCAAACAGAAATGCAATTGGCCACTATATGATTTGTTGATATTACAACCTAACTACTGTCTGTAAATAAAAAATGAAGAGATTGTCATTTAAAATGAGTTTAAATGTAGTGCTTGTTGAATCTTTCTATGATGTCTAGACATACTAAGATACAAAGATTTTTGAGATTTAAAAGAACAGTTGCTGGACACAGTAGCTCATGCCTGTAATCCCAGCACTTTGGGAGGCCAAGGCGGCTGGATCACTTGAGCCCAGGAGTTCAGACCAGCCCACGCAATATGGCAAGACCCTGTCTCTACAAAAAGTACAACAATTAGCCAGACATGGTGGTGTGCAAAAAACGCCTGTGGTCCCAGCTACTCAGGAGGCTGAGGTGGGAGGATTGAGCCTGGGAGGTTGAGGTTACAGTGAGCCAAGATCATGCCACTGTCCTCCATCCTGGGCAACAGAGTGAGACCCTATCTCAATTAAAAAGAAAATAAAATAAAAAGAAAAGTTGCTAGCAAAATTATTTTGTTTTATTGTTTATTTTAGGTAATAATAGACGTGGATGGAATACCACTAGCCAGAGATACTCCAATGTCATCCAGCCATCCAGTTTCTCCAAATCCACACCATGGGGGGGCAGCAGAGATCAAGAAAAGCCATCTTTCGGTTCTTTTGATTCTGGAGCTTCAACTAACAGGAAAGAAGGCTTTGGATTGTCTGAGAACCCATTTGGTTCACTTAGTCCTGATGAGCAGAAAGATGAAAAGAAACTTCTGTAAGTGAAAGCTTTCAGGAAAATTACTATCCATTTGCTTATGTTTTTTCAAAAGCACCTACAATCTTCGTATTTTGTTTTCTCTTTTTTTGTAACATCTTTTCATAATACAATATTTTCTTTAAAAAAGAAATAATGCATTATTTTTAAATCAGAGTAAGCAAAAAAAAGTCACCCACAATCCTATCACTCATAGATAGCCACTCTTTTGCTATGTATTATCCTAAACTTTATTTCACTTAAAAGTATATTATCTTTCTATAATAGTAGAGTGCCTTCCTAGGGATAATTATGCTTTTTCCACTTTGTGTTGATAACACTATATTGTGAATATCTTTCTAAGATTAGTCCTCCTTAAGTTCATTCTAACTTACAAGTCCTTTACAAAGTGTGATGTAATTTAGAACAACTTGTAAACTTGGAGGTCACTTATACCATCTCTGTCTCTCTCTCTCTATTTATTTATTTGGAGATGGAGTCTCACTCTCTTGCCCAGGCTAGAGTGCAGTGGTGCAATCTCAGCTTGCTGCAGCCTCCGCCTTCCAGGCTCAAGCCATTCTCCTGCCTCAGCCTCCCAAGTAGCTGGTATTACAGGTGCCTGACACCACACCAGCTCATGTTTTGTGTTTTTAGTAGAGATGGGGTTTCACCATGTTGGCCAGGTTGGTCTTGAACTCTTGACCTCAAGTGATCTGCCTGCCTCAGCCTCCCAAAGTGCTGGGATTATAGGCATGAGCCACCATACCCAGTCACATATCTTATTTCTTTCTAAAACTTTTACTTGGATTATCCTATTCAAACTGATTTCATTTGATTTCCTACATTTATTGTGAGGTAGATATACGACATTTCTTGAGAATATTTACGGTAAAATTTATGGCTGGTGTCAAAACAATGCTTGGCTATCTGTAATGTTCCCTCAACTCATGGTGACCAGGATGGAATTTAAATGTAACTGGTTAGTCTTTTACTTCTCCTAATTAGATCAGAACCAGTTGTAGATATTTTGAGCCATGTACCATATACAGCTGATTTTTTTTTAAGTAAATGAACAAACAAAACCTTACTTTCTGCATTTGTTACAGTCCTAAATTTAATACAGTTTTCTCTGTGATAATTCTCCTTTTATTGACATAGTCTAAGTAGGAAGAAAGTAATTTACAGCGGAATCTACCCACGGCATTACTACAGATTAGTTGTATGGATGTGGGTCTGTTTCCCCTGTTGCAAAATGTGATAATTAGATAAAATGATCTCAAGTCCTATAACCCACCTTTAAAATATTATGATTCTGTATCACGTAAGTGGTACTTTGTTCTTCCCAGTTAAATGATTATTGATGTTTGTGATAATTATCAAAGAAAGATTAAAGTTACTATTTTAGATTTTTAATTCCTAAAAAAAGTATGGTATCTGTGATAGTATTTATGTAAGTATATTGGTTAATGGGTCAGTGTATTGGAAAATCAAACTCATTAACTTCTCTGACATTATAATACCATTTCTAACCATATAGTTCACACTTCTATAAACTTGTGCTTTAAAGAACACTCTTCAGAAAATATAATGGAAAATATTTTGAACTATGTATTTACTAGAATTTAAATTTTCAGTTGTGGAAAACCATTAACAATAAATTTTACCAAGCAGCTAAGAAGATCCTTTACTCTTTTTTGTTTGTTTTTTTTTCTTTTTGCAGGGAAGGAATTGTAAAAGATATGGAGGTTTGGGAATCATCAGGGCAGTGGATGTTTTCTGTTTATTCACCAGTGAAAAAGAAACCTAATATTTCAGGTAACTGAAAAATTGTGCATTTAAAAAATATGTTCTAAAACTATTATTTTCTAAAACCAAAAGAATGCCAAATAAAGAAATCAACCACCAACTTAGCTACAACTAGGAGACTTTGGACGTTGTTTAAAGTATTTGAGTATTCTAGCCAAACTTCATAATTTAGACATTAAGGTTGGAGAATATAGTATTTTAAGACATGTAGTTCTTGGGAGAAAACATTTAAATAAAGCCCAGGAAGAGAGTCTACATTCTTGATTCCCTGTATATACAACTTTGGAACCTCTTAGCTTCCTGTAGTGAATAGAAGAGTCACATCCTGCCTGTCATTAAGGCCTTGGCTGCCTGGTTCTGTTCTTTCTTCCCTATCTTTCCTTCTAAGAATAGTTGTGTGGAGACCCGTTCTGGAGATAATATTTAGATGTGAGGAGGCTTAGCTGGGCTACAGGGATAGCAACTTTTTTTTTTTTTTTTTTTTTTAGACGGAGTTTCACTCTTGTCCCCCAGGCTGGAGTGCATTGATACGATCTCAGCTCACTGTGACCTCTGCCTCCCAGGTTCAAGTGATTCTCCTGCCTCAGCCTCCTGAATAGCTGGGATTACAGGTGCCTGCCACCACACCCGGCTAATTTTTGTATTTTTAGTAGAGACGGGGTTTTGCCATGTTAGCCAGGCTGGTCTCGAACTCCTGACCTCAGGTGATCTGCCCGCCATGGCCTCCCAAAGTGCTGGAATTACAGGTGTGAGCCACCACACCTGGCCTGGGGCCTGAAATAGCATTTGCTTTAGAATATTCTTCTCTCTCTCTTTTTTTTTTTTTTTGTCCATAGTCCCTAAGCCCTTTCTGGGCTGAAACCTACACCACCAGGCTTTTCCAAGCCCACTCTAGGTGTTCCTGGGCCTCCATCCTTTTGAGGAAACAGTGGGTATCTTGCAGATGGGAGCCCTTGCAATCAATATCGCAGAACCTTGGGATCTTTCCTCTGTCTCAGTTCTAGTTGCTCATTTTCTGTGAGCATTTGCATTGCAACGCTTCTTAGTTATTTATTTACTTGTCCATTTGACAAATATTTACTGAATTTCTTTTGTGCTAAGTGCTAGGAATATAGTGATGAGCAAGACAGACAAGATCCCTTCCTTACGAATCTTACATTCTTGAGGGAGGAAGACAATAAGTGCTGCAAATAAACTAAGATGATTTCAGATAATGATATTTTCTATAGAGAAACAACAAAGTATTAAGCCCTTAATCAGCTTAAGTATTAGTACTTGAGTATTAATCCATTCCAAATTGAACCTAATGCCTGTTGCCCTAAAGCAGTGGTTCTCAAAATGTGGATTCCTGAATAAAGTTGCCAGATAAAATATGGGACATCCAGTTATATTTAAATTTCAGATAAACAAACAGTATTTTTAATATGTGTACATCCCATGTAATATTTGAGGCACATTATACTAAAAAAAGTATTTATTGTATATCTGAAATTCAAATTTAACTGGGCATCCTGTATTTTTATTTGCTGAATCTGGCAACTTTATCCGTGAGGCCCTTTTAGGAGTTGCCTAAGTTCAAAAATATTTTCTAATAATACGAAGTGATTAATTGCCATTTTTCACTGTGGTGACATTTGCACTGTTGGTGCAAAAGCATTGATGAGTAGAACTACCTGTATCTTAGCATGAATCAAGGCAGAGGCAATAAATTACTAGTAGATGTCACAATAAAAAAAAGTTTAATGCCATTTGAACTTAAGAACTTCCTTTATGAAGACATAAAAATTATTAATTTTGTTAACCCTTGACCCTGAGTACACACCTTTTTAGTATTCTGTGTGACAAAATGGGGAGCACATACAAAGTGTGTCTGCCCCATGCCCAAGTGTGATGGTTATCTTGTGTGATTGTTCATGTTGGACTGAGCTAGCCACTTTTTTCAAAGACAATATTTATTTGAAAGGAATGACAACTATGGTTATTTAGAAGAAAACAGTTGATAGTGTTTATTGCCAAAGAAAAAAATTAAAACTTTCAAGCAAAAATTGGAATTACGGAAAACTTTTTTGTCATCATGAACATGATGACTTCTCAATACTTAAAAATCTCTTCTGATGAAACGGATGGCAACATTCACAAATGTGAGGGCCACACACAGCAGCTCATGCCTGTCATCCCAGTGCTTTTGGAGGCTGAGGTAGGAGGATGGCTTGAAGCCAGGAGTTTGAGACCCCCCCCCGGAAAACATAACAAGACCCTGTCTCTACAAAAAATAGAAAAATTAGCCTGAGTATGATGGCATATGCCAAGAGTCTTAGCTACTCTGGAGGCTGAGGTGGGGGGGATCACTTGAGTTCAAGAGTTCAAAGTTATGATGAGTTCTGATGGTGCCTCCACACTCCAGCCTGGGTGACAGAGTGAGACCCTGTCTCTTTAAAAAAATTTTATGGCCGTGCGTGGTCGCTCACGCCTGTAATCCCAGCACTTTGGGAGGCCGAAGTGGGCGGATCATGAGGTCAGGAGATGGAGACCATCCTGGCTAACACAGTGAAACCCCGTCTCTACTAAAAAATACAAAAAATTAGCCAGATGTTGTGGCGGGCACCTGTAGTCCCAGCTACTCAGGAGGCTGAGGCAGGAGAATAGTGTGAACCTGGGAGGCGGAGCTTGCAGTGAGCCGAGATTGTGCCACTGCACTCCAGCCTGGGTGACAGCGAGACTGTCTCAAAAAAAAAAAAAAAAAAAAAAAATTTTATGTTGTATAATAACATGCCAATGTTTGGAAGTTCTGCATAACTCAGTGAACTGGCATTTTTAAAATGACTTATATGTGATATTACAAAATTATGCATGGCTGAAAGTCCATTCTACATGCATGATAACCAGTGGATTTTAATATAATACCACAAAAAGTTCATTAGTATGGCTTGAGTCTGTGTTATAATTAACTTTTAAGAAACTACCACTTGTCAAGTTTTGGTGTAGTATCAAAGAAAAATGTCCACAGTTACTTGAAAAAGCCATTTAAGTCTTCCTTTTCCAATACGTGTCTGTGTGAGTGCCCGTTTTCTGCATACACTTCAGTCAGAACAACATATTGCAACAGAATGAATGCAGAAACATATATAAGAATCCAGCAGTCTTCTATTAAGCCAAACATTAAGAGATGTATAAACATAAAGCAAGGCTATTAATCTTACTAAATTTTCATTTTTTGTTTTGGAAAATAGCTTTTTCATTTATGTAGATAGGTAATTGGTTTCTTTTAAATAAATTAATACTAAGTTTCTCAGTTTTCATTTCAAATGTGGTAATTATCAATGTAAGTAACCCATGTAAACAAACATTCTTTGGGGTCCTTAATGATTTTTAAGAATGTAAAGGAGTCCTGAGACCAAAAGTTTGCGTACTTCTATCCTTTTGTGGTATTATATTAAAATCCACTGGTTTATCATGCATGTAGAATTAATCCATTGTATTAATAAATTAACTTTTTCTATGCAGCTATAATAGAATGATACTACTTTTGCCCCATTTTACGAGACTTGAGAAAATTATCACTCAAATCATTTTCTGTGTTCTGTGGTTCAGATGAGGAATTCTGGTTGAGCTTGGCTGGAAGGAATAGGAGGCAATTAAGGGAACAATGTTCCTTTAGATAGAGTGGTTATCTATTCCTGGGAGGCAGTATTGGGAATGAGTCCTGCATAAAGAGAGGGTATCAGTTACGGGAAGATTTGGGGAAAACATTCCTGGCAGTAGGACTAGCTATTGCAAAGGCCCTGAGGTAAGAACAAGGTTGGCAGTGTTTACAGACTAGTGAGGCCTGAATTACTGGAGGAGAGTAAACAAGGGAAAGTAATATGACAGTAAGGCCAGAGAGATAGCCAGGGGCCAGATCATGTTGGGCCTAATTGCACTGGGCAGGCAGCCATGAAGAACTTTAAGCAAAAGAGGGACGTGATCTGATTAGGAAAAGCTAACTCAACATGCTGTGTGAGGGGGGATAAAAAAGGTCTGTTGGGAGCAGAGGCAAAAGTAGAGATAGGGAGACAGAAGACGTTGCTGCTTGTGACTAGAGTTCATAGCAGTGAAGACAGAATTGGCCATATTTGGGTTCTGTTGGAGCTTGAACTGGCAGGATACTGATTAATTAGATATAGGGAAAGAGAAATCCAAGGTGATTCCTAGGGTTTTTTGGCTTGAGGCATCAGTAAAGATGGGGAAGACAAGTCATTAGAAGGAATCCAGGGTTCTGCTTTGAACATTTAGTCTTTCCTTTATTCTGAAGCAGGTGTCCTTTGAGTTAATAATAACTGGGTTACAAGGAATCTTTTGTAGAAAATATCTTGAACATTTTTTGCCTTTCTTAGTAAGTTTGCCCAATTATAAAGTTACAGCTTTTGGACCAGATGTGGTGGCTCATGCTTGTAATCCTAGCACTTTGGGAGGCTGAGGCAGGTGGATCACTTCAGCCCAAGAGTTTGAGACCAACCTGGGCAACATAGCGAAACCCTGTCTCTACCAGGGTGTGGTAGCACATTCCTATAGTCCCAGCTACCCAGGAGGCTGAGATGGGAGGATCACTTGAGCCCAGGAAGTTAAGGCGGCAATGAGCCACTGCACTCCAGCCTGAGTGACAGGAATGAGACCCTGTCTCAAAAATAAAAAAAAAAAACTGGTTACAGCTTTTGCTTTAGAAAACTTGGAAAGTACAGAAATATATAAATAAAATAAAAATAACCTGTTATCACAGAGATAACTACTACATTTTAGTATATTTCTTTCAAAACATACACACACAAACATTTCTTGTTTATGTATACAATTGACCCTTGAACAACATAGAGTTTAGGGGCACTGATCTTCTGTGCAGTCAAAAATCCACATATAAGCTTTGATTCCCCAAAAGCTTAACTACTAATAACCTACTGTAAGAGAAAAGAAAATGTTAAGAAAATCATAAGGGGTCAGGCGCGGTGGCTCACGCCTGTAATCCCAGCACTTTGGGAGGCCGAGGTGGGCGGATCACAAGGTCAGGAGTTCGAGACCAGCCTCGCCAATGTGGTGAAACCCCATCCCTACTAAAGATACAAAAACAATTGGCAGGGTTTGGTGGTGTATGCCTATAATCCCAGCTACTGGGGAGGCCGCGGCAGGAGAATTGCCTGAACCTGGGAGGCAGAGGTTGCAGTAAACCGAGATCACGCTACTGCACTCCAGCTTGGGCAACAGAGCAAGACTTCGTCTCAAAAAAAAAAAAAAAATAGAAAATCATAAGGAAAAGAAAACATATTCTTCACATAGTGGAAGTGGATCATCATAAAAGTCTTCATCCTTGTTGTCTTTAAGTTGAGTAGCATAGGGATAGGTGGGTTTGGTCTCGCTGTCTCAGGAGTGGCAGAGGCAGAAGAAAATCCCTGTACAAGTGGGCCCTATACAGCTTTGTGTACAGTTGGCTCTTGAGCAGAACTGCAAGGGTCCACTTGTACAGGGATGTACAAGTTGTTCTATGTGTGTATATATGTATACCTATACATATATACATATACATATATATAATTAGGATCGTAATCTAGTTTTTCTTTGTTTTGTTTTGTTTTTTTGAGATAGAGTTTCGCTCTTGTTGCCCAGGCTGGAGTGCAGTGGCGCAATCTCAGCTCACTACAGCCTCCGCCTTCTGGGTTCAAGTGATTCTCCAGCCTCAGTCTCCTGAGTCGCTCGGATTATAGGCATATGCCAACACGCCTAACTAATTTTTGTATTTTTAGTAGAAACAGGGTTTCGCCATGTTGGCCAGACTGGTCTTGAGCTCCTGGCCTCAGGTGATCCACCGGCCTTGGTCTCCCAAAGTGCTGGGACTACAGGCATGAGCCACCGTGCCCAGCTGTAATCTAGTTTTATTTATTTATTTATTTTTGAGGCAGAGTCTCGCTTTGTCGCCCAGGCTGGAGTGCAGTGGCGCAATCTCAGCTGACTGCCACCTCTGCCTCCCAGGTTCAAACAATTCTCCTGCCTCAGCCTCCCGAGTAGCTGGGATTACAGGCGCATGCCACCCCGCCCAGCTAATGTTTTGTATTTTTAGTAGAGACGGGGTTTCACCATGTTAGCCAGGATGGTCTCGATTTCCTGATCTCGTGATCCATCTGCCTCAGCCTCCCAAAGTGCTAGGACTACAGGTATGAGCTACCGCGCCTGGCCCTAGTTTTATATTCTAATTTTTGCTTTCAGTTTGTTTCTGGTACTAAAAATATTAGAATGAGCACCCCTATACATAGTGACCTTTGTTTACATATATAACTATTTCCCAAGGTTAAATCCTGTAAATTGTATTATAAGTCACAGGATATGAATGTTTTTCAGGCTTGTGATGCTTATTAATAATTATCCCTCCCAGAAAACTTGTACCATTTTAATTCCCTTAACAGTAATTTAGGAAATGATACATTTCACCACATTTGGAACAACAGTAAATACCAGCTTTTAAAATTTCTGCCAGTCTGATAAGTAAAGCATTTTATCTATATTTTAAGTTGCATTTAACTTTCATTTATTTACTATTTGATTTTTTTGTGTGTGAATTGCCTGTTCATTATCTTTGCCCAAATTCATTTACTTTTCTCATTTATTTGTAAGAGCTATTTATACATTAGGGCATTAGTTCTTCTCTTGTCATACATGTTAAAATTGCAATTTTCCTAGTGTACAATTTGCCTTGTAATTTTGCTTAGTATAGTTTCTGGCAGATTTTTTAAAATATAAGTTTGAATATAAGGGTAGTCAAATCTTTCTCTTGTGTTTGTTGTTCATTCTACCCCACCTATCTTTAGAAAATTCTTCCCCATTTAAAGATCAAAATAACCAACTATATTTTACTGTAATTTTACACTTTATTAAACATTAAGTAGCGTGTAGGCTTTTAAGTTTCTTCCTTATGATTATGAAAATTTTCTAATCAACATTAGATATTTTCTTGTTTAGCACCTGTAGCTTTACTATCAAAATTATTGGCATTTATTTTAAAGATTCCAATTGATTCCTCACTTCAGGTTTTACAGACATTTCACCAGAGGAATTGAGACTTGAATACCATAACTTCTTAACCAGCAATAACTTACAGAGTTATGTAAGTTTGTTTCCTATTAATCTACTGCAATAACAGATGAGCTGTTAATTACTGCTTTCTTTATTGTGGCTTGTATTTTGGCAAAACCGATGAGGTCTATGATCTTTTTTCAGGAGAAGGCTATTTTTCTTTTCTATATTATTTTCATTTAAATTGGTTGGTTATTAAAATGATAGTATATTTTTACTTTAATAATTAGGAATATTACTATTTTTATTACAAATTACCTAACAGTCAGTCCCAGAAATGAAACCGTTTTATCATTTGACAGATATTTATTGAACATCTGTTAGGTACAGATCCAGTGATGAATGCTAGAAAAACAAAGTTAAATAAGATACAGTCTGTAATACAGATTAACATCTTCATATATCAGATATCAAAAAAAAAAAAAAAATCTTGACAAGTTGAGTACCTGAAGGAAGCAGTTTAAATGCTGTATTTTTCTGTTTCTACAGTCATGATCATGCATTTCAACTAGTACATGTGTTCACCTCCCATCCAAATATAACTAACTACGTGCTGCCAGATGCTTGTGATATTAACCAGATGATACAAGGAGTTGAACAGGGAGAGGGAACTGGAGCTGGAATATTTTTGACAAACAGGCCAAGTCAATGCAAATTTTGCAAGTCATGGGCCATAAAACTGTTACATAAACCTTTCGTGATTTTGGCAAAGAAATATGTGAAGTTTTTATTGAAGAAACTAACTTAAACATACAATATTGAACTGTTATTTTTCTGTCTTCCCTTTTCAGCTAAATTCTGTCCAACATTTAATAAATCAATGGAGGAACAGAGTAAATGAACTGAAAAGTCTAAATATATCAACTAAAGTAGCTTTGGTGAGTATGGGAGAGTTTTCTTGAGGGAAGTGTCTTACCTATTGCTTTTTTGAAGAGAATATTTTACTTTAGATTTGGAAAGCAAAACAAAAATTTTCTGTCAAGAATTATGATACACATTCCCAAAATAGCATCACTTAAGAGTCAAGGTCTTGAAATAGTTTTCTCTGTGTTCCTTGGTCAGAAAAGCAGAAATAGTTATGCTTTTTTTTTTTTTTTTTTTTTGAGACGGAGTCTGGCTCCGTGGCCCAGGCTGGAGTACAGTGGCGTGATCTTGGCTCACTGCAAGCTCCGCCTCCCGGGTTCACGCCATTCTCCTACCTCAGCCTCCCGAGTAGCTGGGACTACAGGCGCCCACCACCGCGCCTGGCTACTTTTTTGTATTTTTTAGTAGAGACGGGATTTCACCGTGTTAGCCAGTATGGTCTCGATCTCCTGACCTCGTGATCTGCCCACCTCGGCCTTCCAAAGTGTTGGGATTACAGGCGTGAGCCACCGCACCCGGCCAGTTATGCTTTTAAAAGCTTTTTAGGGTAAAGTTGTTAACTTTGGTAGTGCTAGTTTTGAATATGGCAAACTTATATAAATTCAAGTATTTAAAGTTATCTGTATGTAAAAAGAAATTACTTTGAACAATTATATGAATGCACATTTAGAATGTAATGTATCATTTTGCGACTGAAGAACACAGTATGTTCCTTGTCTTAAACAGAAATGCCTTTGGAAGATATACACCCACCTGTCTCCAAAGATCTATGGTCCTGACTGTAGCAAGTTCATTATCCTTGTAAATAAAGTTATGATGTTTCTACACCCATTAAAAAGTTCTTAAGAATTTTATTTTAAAATAAGATATTCACATTTATAATTTTAATATTTCCAATTTCTCAGATGGTTTCTACTCTGTATAAAGGATATGAGAGTACTGTGTCCCTACACTTAGTGAATGGTTGACAGTCCCAACACCCCTCCCCTTTCTTAAATATGTGCTTCCTGAATAACTAGACTCTTGTGCAAGCTAATTTCTTTGACCTTTTAGTTGTTGTAATGCTATTTGAATTTAGTGGGACCTCTTGGAAGTAGTCTGTCCTTGTGTGGGAGGTGGGCCACCATCACCATGGATGAGAGCTGATGGAGAAAGGATAACTGAGTCCAAAGAACTGTGGAACTTCCCTCAGGGCTGGAAGGTCCCTGCTCTTTGCTAGCTGCCCAGGGCCCCCCAATAGGTGAGGATGTGGGACAACCCACCCATAGCTGACTTAACATGTATCAGTAGTTCATGCCTTCTTTATGCTGAATGGTAACCCATTGTATGGATATATTATAATTTATCATCTGCCTGTTAATGAATATTACACTGAGGAAGAGAAGCCAGACCAAAAAACAAAACCAATAGTGTAGACCATGTGATGCCATTTGTATGAAACTCTGGAAAAGACAAGTCTCATTTGTAGTGATAGAAAGCAGATAGAGTGGTTGCCGGGGACGAGGAGTTGAGAGGGAGTTGACTGGAAAGGGACACAAAAGAACTTTCAGGGAACAAAAATGTTTTGAATCTCGATTGTGGTGGTTCCAAGTTTGTTAGAACTCATTGAAATATATACAAAAAATGGATGCATTTTATTGTATTAGACTATACCTCAAAAAAAGTTGATTCTTTAAAGAATGCTCTTGAGGGCTGGGCGCGGTGGCTGACGCCTGTAATCCCAGCACTTTGGGAGGCCGAGGCAGGCGGATTATGAGGTCAGGAGTTTAAGACCAGCCTGACCAACGTGGGTGGAAACCCGGTCTCTTACTAAAATACAAAAATTAGGCAGGGCTGATAGCGCACGCCTGTAATCTTTAGCTACTTCAGGGAGGCTGAGGGCCAGGAGGAAAATCACTTGAACCCACTGGAGGGTGGAGGTTTCAGTTCTCAAAAAAAAAAAAACAAAACTTTTTTGTTTGTTTTTTTTTTTTTGAGATAGAGTTCTCGGTTCTGTCGGCTCCCAGGCTGGTAGTGCAGTGGTGCGTCTCGGGCTCCCTGCAAAGCTCTGCCTCCGGGGTTCACGCCATTCTCCAGGCCTCAGCTCCGAGGTAGCGGGACTACAGGCACCTGCCACCATGCCCGGCTAATTTTTTTGTATTTTTAGTAGAGACAGGGTTTCACTGTGTTAGCCAGGATGTTCTCAATCTCCTGATGTCATGATCCACCCGCCTCAGCCTCCCAAAGTGCTGGGATTACAGGTGTGAGCCACTGCACCGGCCAGAGAATGCTTTTGAGGCTTCCAAGTGAAAGAAATCACTTATGTTTGCTTTGGATGATTAAGAAAGTCTTCTTGGAAGGAAGGAGCAAGTACAAAGTTCCTTGAAAGGAGGATTAAGATTTCAGTAAGCAGAGATGAAAGACATTTCTAGAGCACAGAAGAGCAAGAACATAAAGTACTTTCAGGGAATGGGAAATGTTTAATGGATATTTGGTCATAAGCTTTTAATTATATAATAGTGGATCTACTTCATTTCTAGTATTAAAGTTGACTGGGTATTCTATAAAGGTCCTTTTTACCTAATATCTAGATTTCTCTATAAATGCAGATCTAACCTTATAGACACTGAAAAAAATTTAAAAATATTTTTCTCATTATAATATCTGCTCATTGTAGGAATTTAGAAAGTATAAAAAAGCATAAATAAAATTTAAATCAACCGTAATTCATCAGCCAGAGACAATCACTGTTAATAATGTACATTTTTTTATGCCTATTCGTATTATTAGTTGTGATTATACTGTTTATACAGTATTAGATCTTATCCTTTTCAACATCATATTATGGGCATTTTCCATGTTAAGCATTTAACTTTGCCTTTTTTAATGCACTTTTTTCTTCTCTTTTCTGTTCTTTTTTTGAGTCAGTCTTACTTTGTCACCCAGGCTTTCCCAGGCTCAAGTGATCCTCCCACCTCAGGTTCCCAAATAGCTGGGACCACTGGCTAATTTTTTGTAGAGATGGGGGTCTCACTGTATTGTTGAGGCTCATCCCAGACTCATAGGCTCAAGCCCTTCACCATCTCAGCCTCCCAAAGTGCTAGGATTACAGGTGTGAGCCACCACACCCAGCCTTTAATGCACATTTTAAAAAATTGAATTTGTCCATAAAATGTATAGAAAAGATACTGGAGCATTTTTCATCAAGCACTTTATTATTTGCACACTTTTTTTTTTTTTCCAGCTCTCTGATGTAAAGGATGGTGTAAATCAAGCAGCACCTGCATTTGGATTTGGCAGTAGTCAAGCAGCAACATTTGTGTCGCCAGGTAAGTGATAAAGTAATACAGGACTTAACTGATTTAGAAAAATTAGATTTTATAGGTTTCAAATTATAAGCCTGAATCACCATTTTAAATTACCTTCATAAATTCTACAACCTTCCATCATAGAACCTCAAAGCATTTGGCTCATTAGACATTTGTGAAATGGAGGCCAGATTGGGCATGTTCTTTGAAAGACACTTAAGCTTTAGAAGTCCATTTTAGGAATGGTTTTTCAGGAGTTTCGTAGAAGTACATAGCTATGATAGCAGCACCTTTGAGAACTTTCTTGTCACTGTGTTTAACAGCATAGCATTGTCTTCAGGTGGCAGCTCTGGTGAGGTAAGTAGAAACCAAAGTGAAAGTCTATTCTCTAGTCCCTGTGGTTTCTCCTTGGGTGAAGGTCAATCAAGGTGAAAATGGGATTCTTAGCAGAAAAGGCAGGAAGCAGGCTTTAGTGGGTAGTTCTAGCCTCTCATTTTTACTTTTCTCATCTCATCCTTCCAGTAAGCTTCTCAATACTGAAACATGACATAAATAAGAAAGAAAGATAGGGGAAGGAAATAATGGTGACATTTTTTTGACTATAATAAATTTTTTTTCTGCTTTGTTTTGTTTTTTGTAGGCTTTCCAGTCAATAATAGCAGCAGTGATAATGCTCAGAACTTTAGTTTTAAAACAAACTCTGGATTTGCCACTGCCTCTTCTGGAAGCCCTGCTGGTTTTGGGAGTTCCCCAGCATTTGGAGCTGCAGCCTCTACCAGTTCAGCTATCTCTACTTCTGCTCCAGCTTTTGGATTTGGGAAACCTGAAGTTACATCGGCTGCATCATTTTCATTCAAAAGCCCTGCAGCTTCCAGCTTTGGATCACCTGGATTTTCAGGACTTCCAACTTCCTTGGCAACAGGTTCTATTAGAGCTCCAGTGGCCCCAGCCTTTGGAGGTGGCAGTTCTGTGGCTGGTTTTGGTAGTCCGAGCTCACATTCTCACACTGCTTTTTCTAAGCCATCCAGTGACACTTTTGGAAATAGCAGCATATCCACTTCTCTCTCAGCCCCAAGCAACATCTTTGCAACAGATAATGTGTTATTCACACCCAGAGATAAACTAACAGTAGAAGAACTGGAACAATTTCAATCCAAGAAATTTACTCTGGGAAAAATTCCATTAAAGCCTCCACCTCTGGAACTTCTAAATATTTAAAAGGGCAATTTTAAATACAAAAAAGAATGATGTTTGAAACTGTTTTGAGTGATTCATATAGAGGTGCATATATGCATACATGTATTATTCATAAGGAATATAAGCTTCCATTAATAGTGATTTTAAATTTTATTTTTTCTTAAGTCTAAATATTTAAGTAAAAAGTAACAAAAACTCAGCAAGCAAGGGAATTTTTTTGTACTGTAATTTTGAATGGAACTGAAAAATTGTGCATGAATAAAGTACTTTTCTCATGCCACACCACTTTACTATCTCACCATTTAAAGTTTTAAACTTTTTTTTTAGGAAGGAGATAATTTCTGGAACTATTAGGGGTAATATGCTCAAATATTTAGCCTACTGTTAGAATAAACATTAATAGCATGACTTCATGTTCAAGATTCTCTCAAAGAGATAAATCACAGTTTGTAAAGAGTGACAAGCTTTTATTTTTAGAACCATAGGGGCATTTCCCCCCCATTAGTTTGAGACTGCCTCTCAACTTTGGCAGTCTCATGGACCACCATTTGAGTTTTCTTCAACAATCTTAGGCTGCTTTTTATTTTGGCCTCACTTTTATAGAATTCTATTTATTCATCACATTAGTCTGTCAAATGGATGAGTTGTAAGAGAAACAAATTGTGATCTCATATGAGTAAATAATGTGTGTAGTGGGGTCAGGATTTACCAGTTTCTGTTTCTAGATCTTCTTAGGCATGGCCAGGTACGGTAGCTCACACCGGTAATCCCAGCACTTTGGGAGGCTGAGGCGGGCAGATAGATCACTTGAGGTAAGGAGAGTTTGAGACCAGCCTGGCCAATATGATGAAACCCTATCTCTACTAAAAATACAAAAAATAAGCTGGGCATGGTGGCAGGCACCTGTAATCCCAGCTACTGGGGTGGCTTGAACCCGGGAGGCAGAGGTTGCAGTGAGCTGAGATCACGCCACTGCACTCCAGCCTGGGTGACAGAGCTCCGTCCCCTCTCCCCCTAACCCAAAAAAAAAAAGAATTATCGTGCGTGTTTGGATCTCCCTGTGTCCTCAGATTGAGGGAGTAAGATTTGTATCTTACGTATGGATGATCCAAGAAACTAAAGGCCTGTCACGAGTTGAAGCAGGTATATCAGAGTTCTGTGCTTTCTCAGGCCTCAAAAATTACATCGCTAGCACTGCCAAAGCAGTTACTAACACGGGTCTGGCATTGAGCTGATTTTTCTAAGTGAATATAAAACCTTACGTAATAAAAGATATGCACTCCAAATGATTTTAACATATGCAAAGGATTCAGTCCTCAAAGGACTCGCATTCTCCATTTTGCTTTGTTGTTGTTGTTGTTGTTGTTGAGACAGTCTCGCTCTGTCGCCCAGCTGGAGCGCAATGGCGCGATCTCCTCTCACTGCAAGCTCCGCCTCCTGGGTTCACGCCATTCTCCCGCCTCAGCCTCGCGAGTAGCTGGGACTACAGGCGCCCGCCACCACACCCGGCTAATTTTTTTGTATTTTTTGTAGAGACGGGGTTTCACCGTGTTAGCCAGGATGGTCTTGATCTCCTGACCTCGTGATCCGCCCGCCTCGGCCTCCCAAAGTGCTGGGATTACAGGCGTGAGCCACCCCGCCCGGCTCCATTATGCTTTTTGAGAAGCTGCTTGACTCATTTGACAGTTCTGGAACCCCAGTGTTTGGGACAGAATCTATACTATACCCAGGGGATATATATTTGAAACCATGCTGGTGTAGAGATGGTAAATAGAGCATAAGTTCCTTTAGAAGGAGCAAGATTAAAACAAAAAGCATAAATTCCTTCTTTGGTCTCAAGCTCTAAAGACTTTCCAGTATTCGAACTAATACTTGAATCCTAGAATTTTCCTGCCTCCTGGGATGAGCCCTACACTACCTTTAAATTGCATACAAGCTCCCTGAGGTATCAGTTGAACGTCCCAGTGTCCTGGAAGATCTCAGAGAATTCAAGTTAAAAGCCCATTGTTTCCAGCTGTGCCTGATTATAAGAATCACCTGGGGTGTTTGTTAAATAATATCTCCAGATAATATATCCAGATTACAGGGGCTGTCCTTTGGGATGGGCTTGGGAGTATGTCAACAGGTATTCCTTGTGATCTTTCAGGCAAGTTTGGGAAACAGGCCTATCCAGCTGTATTTGGGCTACTTAGTAATACCTGATTTGGGAATTTTAATTGTTGAGGTCTGTTTTCTGTGCTCCCATATACACAAAAATGTAGGAATTTAACAGGATCCAGTTTTTTAAAAAGCACAAATAAGTGCTACGGCTACGAAAAAAATTGAGAAACTAAAGCAGAGAGGCCCACAAAGTAGAATCTAGCACCATGCATGCATACTGGTGTCAGAAGTCAAGAAAACTGGTAACTCCCAGACCTAGGCTAAGGGGCATCGGGGCTTCAAAAAATCAGAAACAGTTAGTAATGAAGTGGCAGCAGCTGGGCATAAAGGTAGGTTGAGTGTTCAGACCCCAATAGGGAGGGAGTAGAAGGGAAAAGGCACCCACAGCAAGAGGATGTGCCAGCATCTTCTGGGTGGTATCTCCTAATCTCATATCCAGTGAGACTAGGAGAGCTGGACTGACTAAGAGGAATACCCTAAAATAGGCAAAAACAGCCTCCCTTCACAGCTGCTGCAATAGCTGTCCCTTTTACCAAAGGCCTAGAGCAAGTGACAGAATTGCAGATAAGGTATAGCAAATAAACTGATTTAACTCGCTTGATTATCTGATCACAGATTAGAATGGGAGAACAGTAACAGCTGAGAGCTGATTAGAAGGGGAGAGAAAGTGAGCTGACATTAAAACTAAAAGGAATGAAATGATTTAGCTACACAGTATTATTCATAAGAGTAAAATAATTCAACTTGAAGCATCAACAATGATTTAATTGTGGTAAATACATACACTGGAATACTAAATAGCCTTTCTAAATGACTTAATAGAGAATAACTATGAAATGTTTTCTGCAATCAGTGGACCAGAGTTTGCTATAAAAATAGCATGTACATTGTGATCCGTTTGGAGGGAAATAATATATTCATGGGGGGAGCCTAAAAGTTAACAATAATAGCTCAAATTTTAGTGAGTTTTTGCTATGTGCCAGACAATGTCCTAAGCATTCTGTATCTAGTATATTAGCAAATTGCCTCATCACAACCATGTAATCTAGGTGCTATTATAACAATCCTCATTTTCTAAATGAGAAGAGCAAGATTTGGAGACATTAAATGACCTATCCAAAGTCACTCAACTTGCAAATAGTTGAGTTGTAATTCAAACACTGAACTTAAAGGGGCCATGTTTAAACCACTCTGCTATACTAGATACTAGATTATGAGGCCACTTTGTCTTTTTTTGTATTTTCTACAATAGCATTAACTTTATATATTTCCCCTATTTTTCTTCATATGAGTACAATTTGCAGGTCCCACCCCAAACTTACTGAATCAGTCTGCATTTTAACAAGACCGACCAAATGATTTGTATGCACATGAACATGTGAGAAACTATTTCCTGTGTAAAGGAGATGTACAAAAATGTACACAGTATTGTTTATATAGCAAAACAGAAAGCACCAGAAGTCCATCCACGGGATAATGGATAAACTTTGGCATAATGGAATATAACTGTATAATAACTCTAGTTACTTGTATAAACAACCACCAAAAATGGGAAGGTACAGAAAAGTATGTACGATATACCATTTAAAGTACAAAAGAGCAAAACAATACTATAGTATTATTTATGGATACATAAATATAGGAATAATAGCATGTGGATAATAAGCACTGATATGATTTGGCTGTGTCCCCACCCAAAATCTCGTCTTGAATTGTAATAATCCCCATGTGTCAAGGGCGGGACCATGTGGAGATAACTGAATCATGGGGCTGGTTTCCCTCATTCTGTTCCCATCATAGTGAGTTCTCATGAGATCTGATGGTTTAGGGGCTTCCCCCTTTGCTGGGCTCTTA